TATCTATCTATCTATCTATCTATCTATCTATCTATCTATCTATCTATGCTAAAAGACCTTAAATTTAGTTTATATTTTACAAAACTGTCAGTGAAGGCATATTTGAAGGGAAAAGTAGGCCAAACAGAAAGTGGGTCCTCTCTCATGACGAAGCATTCCTGTCACTCCGGTGTTGTTTAAGCAGAGCTGACGGCCCGATGAGGCAAACGGACTCAAAACAGCCACCGCATGGAAACAGAATCCTCTTACTCAGGCTTCTAGAAAGCCACAGTTTCAAATCCTCAAAAGCTTCACCCTCCACTTCTCTGGCCTGCCGCCTGCCTCCATTTAGCGGCTCCTCACCGGCCAGGCCCTGACGGATGGATCTTATCGTTCCTTTTCTTAGAGGCGTTGGTCTGGAGGACAGAGGACTCTCGATGCCACACCAACAAACCTTGGGACATTTTTCTCCGTTATTTCGAGAGATCTTCAGTCACCGGCTGTCCTTCTGCTCTGTGATTGCTGAGCTCCCCGGTGTGGTTTTTCTTCTTAATGAGGCTCCTGACAGTTTATTTCTGAGCATCCAAAGCTCTGACTGATGTCCCCACGCCTCCTCATCAGTCTCATAATGTCCTCTGACTTTCAGCGGATGCAAAAAGAAGCAATTAAAGGAACAAATGATGATGAAAAGGCAACACAGATATTTGGACTTTTTGTCTGTGTGCTGTGCTTTCCACACATCACAGACAACGCTCCACAAAAAACAGAAACGCCATTAAAATATCGTCAAAAAGCAAGAAGGATTAAAGTCGGCCATGTTCAAACAATGATTTATTGGGACATGATAGACTGGTGGAGTTCCTCCCCTGTCTTGATCTCACTCTTTCGGTTTCTTTTCAGATCTGTGAGCGGAGGCGAGAGCTGGAACAAAGTCGGACCAGAACCAGAAGTCTACATTTGGATATTTTCTTTACAGTTTCTATTTATGTTCAAATGTAATATGTTATCGTGCTAATGCAGATCAATATCTGTATATTGTCTTTTCTTTTTTTTCTTTTTTTTGCAACTACGGTTCATCGATCACCTTTGTGGTGATAGTCTGAAATAAATTCATTAATTCATTCATTCATTCATTCATTTATTAATACAAAATGCACATATTAACTGAGGTTTTGCGTCAGTAAAAATTCATCGGCGTGACTTCTCTGTTGACTCTATGATCAGAAAAATCTCACGTTCTGTCCTTGCTGCCGGTTTTCCAGTTTGAATTTTTGGTTAAAAATGGCCGAGAGGTTGTTGTCTTTCATTTTGGTTTTCAGATGCACTTCCCCCAACGATGACATCATCTTAGAACCTGCTCAGGGTCTGTTTGACATCACGCTGTGATGTCATCACTGTGATGTCAATGGAATGACACCAGCATTCTGATCAGTCACAATCAGACACTCTTCGGATTAGCAGCAGCCAGCAAGGCTTGTGAGACACATCTGGAGATTACAGTGAATTCAGCTTTTACCAAAGCAGGAACTCGGTTTATAACAAGAACACTTCAAAAATGTTCAAGCTATTTTCCGCCCAGGCTCCCTCAAACAACAGCGGTGTGAAAATACGGACAATGACAGAAAACAAAGCTCTGAAGAATGTGAAACAACCACAAATAGGTGAAACACGTCTGATAGATAAGATGCTAAATCAGCAAATGCAGAAAATCAACTTAGAAAAAGGCGCCGCGAACGGTGTGAAAAAACCAGCAGTGCCGGAAAAAAAAGTTTTGACAAGTGTGAGAAATCAACAAATTAGTGACATGTTCATGGCAAATAAGATCGTAACACAGCAAATGCCAAAAAACGCCCCAGAAAAAAGCGCCCAAAACGTTGGGAAAAAACCAGCAGTGGCAGAAAAAAAAGTTTTGACAAGTGTGAAACCACAAATTAGTGACATGTTCATGGCAAATAAGACGGCAAAACAGCCGATTCCCCAAAAAGCCCCAGAAAAAGGTGCCCCAAATGGTGTGAAAAAACCAGCAGTGGCAGAAAAAAATGTTTTGCCAAGTGTGAAACCTCCACAAATTAGTGACATGTTCATGGCAAATAAGACGGCAAAACAGCAAACACCCCAAAACGCCCCGCAAAAAGGCGCCCCGAGCGGTGGGAAAATTCCACTAGTGGTGGAGAAAAAAGTTTTGACAAATGTGAAACCTCCACAAATGACTAAAACACTCCTGGCAGATAAGATGGTAAAACAGCAAATGCCCCAAAAAGCCCCAGAAAAAAGCGCCCCAAGCGTCGGGAAAAAACCAGCAGTGAAACCACCACAAATGAGTGAAAAAGGCCCGGTAGGTAAGATAGTAAAACAGCAGACGCAGAACATCGCCTCAGATAAAAGCATCCTGGGCGTTAAGAATAAACAGCTGCTGACGGAAAACACCGGTCTGAAAGGAATAATCGAAACCCTTCGCAAAGACATAGAGAAGCACAGGAAGAAAAGCAAGAGGAAAATCCATCTTCAAAACGAGCACCTGACGGCGGAAAACGCCTCCCTGCAGACGGACAAAAGCTCCTTGACAGGTCAAATTCGCACCTACAAAAATCAAGTCAGAGACCTGGAGGAGATGGTGGAGACTTTGGAAAAGGAGAAGAAAACCTCACAGGAAAAGCTACAACGGCTGACCACGGCGAGCAAAGAAGAGAGGGAGCTTCTGATGGAGAACATAGACAGCATGAGGGAGGAGAGGAAGGACTACAAGAAAAACCTGAAACAGCAAATGCAGATGCACAGCTTGGAAAAGGACGCGATGCAACAGAGACTTGACGCGCTGGAGACCAAACTCAGAGATCTGACGGCTGAGAGGAACGGCCAGGAATCAGAGGACCGGACCCAGGCCCTGCAGGAAAAGGTCGGGGAGCTGGAGAAAAGCAATTGGCAAGCCCAGGAAACACTCCAAGCTCAGGAGATTGCGCTGCAGAAAAGTAAGGAGAAATACCAGGAGCTGCTGAGGAGGAAGGACTTCACCAAGGTGCTGCAGAGCAGAAATGTGGAGCTGGTTCAGACGCTCAGTCAGCAGAAAAACGAAGACGACCAGGTGGGAAAGCTGCACTCCGAATTCTCGGAAATAATGAAGACGAAGGACGAGGTTTCGGCCGAGTTTAAAGAAACGGTCAGAGGCTTTAAACGGCAGGTCACTGCCCTGAAAAAGGAGCAGGAGATGCTGGAGCAAAATATCCTGAAACTCACCAAGGAAAACCGAAAACTGACAGAAAAGCTGCATTTAACGGAAAACCGGGGCCCCGACGGAAAACTCCCCGCATTCCGGACAGAACTGGCCGATATAAAAAAATGCCTAGATGAGCTCAAAGATACAAGTCAAAGAGAGAAAGAGTACTTGGAGCTAGAAAATGAAGCCCTGAAAAGGGAGTTGGATGAGACCAAAAAATCCCTGGAAGAGCTGAGAGAAACCGGGAAGAGGATTCAGGAGGAGAACCGGCAGCTGTCCCAGGAGAATCGGGACCTGAGACACAGAGTCCAGAAGCCAGAAAGCAGCCGGGAACGTTCCCAGGAATCCGCGAACGAACGGGAGTCGGCGCCACAGAGACGTGAGGAGGTCTACCAAGAGCTCCTGAAGGAAAAGAAAGAGGTGGAGCTTGAAAGCGACGTGTTGAGAGTGAGGAACGTGGAACTGGTGCAGGCGCTCCACCAGCAGAAGGACGACCAGAGAAAAGAAACCGGCGACCAGGTGAGGAGGCAGGTCCACGAATTCTTTGAGAAGATGGCGAGAGAGAAGGACGAGGCTAAAGATACAAGCCACAGAGAGAAAGAGAGATTGGAGCTAGAAATTGAAGCCCTGAGAACAGAGTTGTATGAGTCCAAAATAACCCTGGAAGAGCTGAACGAAACCGGGCGGAGGATTCAGGAGGAGAACCAGAAGAGCCGGGAAAGATTTCAGGAGATGAGCCGGGAAAGGGATCAGGAGAAGATCCGGGACAGGGATCAGGAGAAGAACCGGGAAAGATTTCAGGAGAAGAGCTGGGACAGGGTCCAGGAGAAGATCCGGGACAGGGTTCCGGAGAAGAACCGGGACAGGGATCAGGAGAAGAGCTGGGACAGAGTCCAGGATAAGATCCGGGACAGGGTCCAGGAGCAGGAGGGCAGCCTGGACTATTCCCAGCTGGCAACGTCCCTGCGGAACATCCTGGATCGCAACCGGGAAATGCCGGAGAGCAGATCCCGACAGCGGGAGGGCAGAGACGTGGTCCCTGTGGAGCTGCTGCTCAAACAGGGCCGCGAACTGAGCGAAGAGAAGCGTCAGGAGGTGGAGAGCCTGTTCTCCTTTTTCAGCGACATCATGAAAGAGAAGGACGACATTTTCCGGAGGGCTCTGGAAAACTCCCGGAGCTCGGCGCAGGAGGCCGCCGACATGCGGGACGACCAGAAGCTGCTGAGGCTCAACCAGATCAAGCTGGAGGAGCAAAACCGGGAGATGGCCGAGAAGCTGCGGCGGTACAGAGAACGGGACGCCCTAAAAAAGGCCTACAAGGACTGGGAACGCAGAGATATGGGGTTCAATTTAAGCTGAGGACATCCGAACCAGGAAGAAAAACTCCACCGATCAAAGATTCCATTCCGTCCAGTCCAATTCTACAGTTCTATTCTTTTATCTACTCGATTCTATTCAGTTCTACTCTGTTCTGTTCTATTCACTTGTGTTCCATTAGTGCAAAACACTAAGTAAATCAAGGAAAAGCCAAAGACCTCCCACAGAAAGCTTTAGGAGGTCTTCAAGAACACAAGAAGGAGCCACTGTCACGAAAAACACAGGAGCTCCTACAAAGCCAGAGAGAAAAGCCAGAAGAGTCCAAACACGGCAGCCTAAAGGCTGCTCCTCACTCGGCAACAGCAGGAAATTTGCTCTTGTTCTCCGGGGACCGGGAAGCAAATTAATCACAGCTCCGTGTGGAGAGTGTGATAGCCCGAAGTCCCAAAACCAGCGAGACAAGCAGCCGCCGACACGGATTCGACGGAAAAGCGCCACTTTAAAGGGCACAAACAGAAGCCAGTTTAAAAAGTGGTGCTTTTTCCGCTGGATTCGGGAACATTTGGAACAAGTTGCTCACTCACACGAGTCAGATAAACAGAATTATGAAGATTATCAACGCTCATTATGAAGAGATGTGTGTTGATCTGCCTCTGTGACCCGGCCTGACCTGACCCTGGACGGACGCCATCGATCTTCTACAGATTTAAAGTTACACAACGCATAAAGCTGTGAAACACTTTGGTCGGCGTGTCCTCCATGATTTCTTCTTTTTTAAGTCAGGATCTCTAACTTTTTCATTTATTCTCATCTTATCCCATGTCATTTTTGTCTTGGTGACAGTGAAATGCTCACTGAATAAAAATACTTAAATGTTGTCTTCCGACTCCTTTGTCAGTTTCTGAGATCTCTCACTGAGGGAATCGAACCCAAACAAACCCGCTCGTTTCGCCCCTCTCGCCTGAAATAATCCAGCCTCTGTCAGGGGTTTAATTACTACTGATGAGTTTAGAAGTGGGAGGTCAGATATCTGGTTTCCCTTTCTGCCTAGTGTGTGACTTCCTCCAACAAGCGGCAGCAGATGGTTGGAGCCTCAGATCCTGCAGGACGCTGGAGCATTAAGCCTGCCGTCCACAGAGGGGGTCTGGGATTAGACCCACATCTCCTTAAGAGGCTGTCCCCCAGACTGCAGCCATCTGGGCCGCAGCACATGCACAAATACATGTTTATATTTCTGGTTTTAAACCTTCCGCCTGATCTGATGAGTCTGCAGACGTGATGAGAAACGATTCATTGTGGGATTAATGGATTGGAGTTTTGATAAGTGACTCGTTTACAGGGTGAAAGTGTTGGTTGTATCTTTGTGGGCTTTGAAAATGTTAAAAATGTTCTTACTTCTTTTGTGGACGAAAATGAAAGAGACTCGGACATGTGCACAGTTTTAAGGTTTTTCATCTTTTAGTAAAGTAAAAATATAAACATGCCAATATATACAAGAGGAATCTGGATAGAAGTTCAGTATTATTATAATCAGGTCTTGAATCACTGTTTAGAAGAAGGCACTTCAGACAGACGGCGGCCGCAAAAAAATAGACAGAATGAGAGAAAATAAGCAGGATTTTTTCATATGAAAGCTCATGAACCTACAGGAAACACAATATCTCCTCCTCATAAAAGTTCACTTGACCTTAAAGTAGTAAAATAAACACCATGTTCTCATCAGTGTGCAATGAGCAACTCAAAAATATTCCTAAAAATTCTTTGGATAAAAAAACATTTGAAAGCGTCATCTTCAACACAAATTACGTCCAAATG